GATCAAACATTTTTTAGTGGCCTGAAATGTTTATTCACATGCCACAAATACTTACAGCATTTTCAAATCAGCTCAATCCGACAAATTTTTAATTCAAATTAGACATTTAGAAAAGGAACATGGTCAAGGGAGTTGCATAAAAAGGTATTTAGAATTAGAAATTATGAGCAAGGATGAGAAATATTGCAAAGAAATGCATGAGAAATACATTATATTGAAAATATTGTTTTTCCACTGATTAAGAAAGCTAAAATACAATGTTAAATGACAAAATGCTTTCAATACATTAGAAATTGAAACAGCATGCATCAAACAAGTTAGTCCTATTTGAACTTTCTATGTAATGTTTTTAAACAGTGCACTTTGAAAATAAAGAAATAAACTTCAGTTACAAATGCATGCCGTTGTCATCTTATAGGATAGCAATAATCTGATTCGAAAGATGATAGACACACTAAACATGAGGACGTAAGATATACTTAGATATGAAGATTTAGAAAATAAATTAGGTGGTAAGGTTTGCCCCAATATATGAATGTCAAAACAAGTACAGGAAAATTATTTCAAAATTGTATCAACAAATGTTAACAGAACTGTTGGTCACTTAGTTCAACCATGATTGTTGGCCTAAACTGTTTTGTGGGGTGACTTGAAAAGACTTCAAATTCATTAATTAGAAATTATAGGCAGAAAAGATTGAAAGTAATTCTAATATATGATGATTGAATCAAGAATGTAATATAGGGAAGAAGAAAAGCATACCATCCAAGATAAGCAAAAGCAACAGGCAAAACAAGGGCCTGGAAACCAACCCCGGCATTGAGGTTGTGGAATGCAGCATAGTGAGCATTTCCGTTGCGAGACTCCGTGATTGGAAGCCAGGCATCTTGAGGGTTGAGTTTAGTAAGGTGACCAACATCCTCCAAATAACCCTTCATGTTTATGAGCACTCTCTTCATTGGTGTCCCTATAGGACTCAGAAACCTTGGAGATTTGAATGAGGTCGGAGTCCATGCATTTGATGATTTCGCTTCCTTTGATGGTGGTCGTGGTGACCTCTGCCCCGACGGTGTCAATATCTCTGGTGTTGACACTCTAGGTGTTGCCGGTATGGATATCAGTTCTGTCTCCGGTCTTTCCTCCATGGAATGAGCCAGACAAAATAACCTGATGAATGAAAATCAAAATCTGTTAATAGCATTATGGTTATACAAAACTATGGACTTTATAGGAAACCCATTAAGCATATTGTTTCTTTCAAGCATGCACTAAAAATCTTCCATGGATGTGTATCTATTTGAAAAATTAAATATGATGTTTAGGATTGTACTAACTTTCTTATTAAATCCCTTTAGAAAGAATACCAGTGCCTATTGCTAGCCCACAAGGGTTAAGCAAAGATTTGATATCTAGTTCCAAAAGGAAAGATCTATTATCTTATTGTATCTTTTAGAATCATTAACTATTTCAGATGCCTTTGGGATGGAAAACTACAAAATGACAAAGATAATGAAAGGACAAAGGAGTGGTGTGACATTTGATTTATTATACACTTGTCACATCATCAGAGACATAAAGATAATGAAAATTTCTAAAATGGTAGAAAATTCAGTGTGATTTTGACAAAAAATGATATTTAACTTAGTTAGGTCATACACCTATTCAAAAATTATCATTTTTGGCTTCTCATAATTTGTGAAACAAAAGCTTCCAAAACTTAGCTAAAGGAAAAAACCTCAAATGTTCTGAAACAGAACAAGTAAATATAAATACCACATTTGGTTTGAAAGTTCACCAATTAATCACATGAAAGCTAAGAATCTACTAAGCTTATTCCATGTTCACAGTTTTGGGTCCAAAGCCATATACTTGCACAATACAACAAAAACCAAGCCTTAAATATATTAAAAAAAACGTGTCTAACACAGACCCAGATAATGATATAATGCATGATACAGAAACACTAAGCAGAAGTTTGTGAATGATTGAATAAGAACAAAGGAAGCAAAGAGTATGAAAGTAAGTACCTTTATATATACCCAGAAAATAATAAAGTTGAAAATAGAGGAAATGAGGTTCAGAAGAAGGTGAGAGTTGAAGTTCAAAGAGAATGGTTTTGTTATTGAGCGAGTAACCCAAAGTGATTGAGTTATAGTACCACTAAAGCTAGTAGTATAAGCACTTTTTTATTCTAAAGTTTAACTTTTTTTAGAAGTTGATGACGTTGGTACTAGAAACCATGATGGCTATTAGCTTTATTACTTTCTGTTTAGAACTTGACTATTCACACTTATAATAACTTTGCATTTTTTGTTGCAGAGAGAGAAAGAGTGGTGAAATTTTATTACAGAATGAACATGTAATTAAAATCATTAATCTTATACTACTTAATAATTACTTCATACACAAATATTTCATTTTTCTTAGAAGATAAATATATCATCACATGTTAGATTTTCTTTGGTTTTTTTTTTAAGGACTCTCTATTAATTAAGACATTTTTGTATTTTATTTAAAATATAATACAAAAGTTTAAAACACATGAGATGTAATGCCAAAATGTCTGAAAGAATTTATTAAAAGTGGAATAAAAAAGTTGAACAATATATCATCACAGTATTCACATATGGGAATTGAAATCTACTATAAATACTATTATATTATCATCAAAATAGTCACATTAGATAAGGTAAGGAACTTTAAGAAGTGTCTCTGAATTTACAAAGACTTTACCCACCAGTCCACCACCTGCATGGTCTGTTGCGTGTAGGAATGACAACGGGGGCACGTCGAGGTTAAATTTGTACTTACCTAACCTCAAACCTAAAATACAAAATCCGAACTCAAACTAAGCGGGGTTGAAAACAAAGATATCATCCCCAAATTCGTTGGGTTTCGGGTAACCCGAACCTGATAAAAACTCGTCTGAAACATTTATTTCTATGTATATATGTTATATATGTCAATTTTATATATGTATTTATGTGTATTTTTATAATTTACATATATTAATCGGGTTCGGGGTATGGTATCAACTATACCAAACCCGAAATTTGAATTCGAATAAAACCCAAACTCAAACTCAATCACATTAAATTTTCTCCGATAATTTCGGGTTGGGTTCAGGAGAATACTCGTGAATCCAGTTTTCATTGTCATCCCTAAGTGCATGAGCATCTCGTGTGAGATTCATGTTGACCTTAGGTAACATAATTTTGTTCCATGATGATACACTAACATTATTCGGTTGCTTCATTCCAAATTATTTCATTTTAAAGCATGTGACTCATCATCTTTCTCTTCCATTTCTTATCATTCTAACTGTCCTACCATTTTATATATTCTTATTAATATATTATCAGTTATAACTATGAAAGTATTGGTACAATGATATTGCGGTTTAACTGGTGATTTATTAATTCAACTGCATACTTGTTAATATATATATATATAAAATATATATTAATATTGAAAAATTAATAAAAAATAATATATTTTTATTTTCATTAAAAGTTAATTTTAAATAAAAATCGATCGATATGACCGGTGCAATTCAATTGAAAATGTTCAGTATGACCAATTTTAACCGATATGATTGTATAACCTATATAATTGTTATATCATATCAATATTGAAACCGTTTTATCATTGAACAGACCGACACAAACCAACTTTCACAACAATGTTTGAATGTAAGGAGCTATTTTGGGACAGAAAGATAGATAATATGAATGTAGGATAATTTATATGTATGGTTGTCATTTCCAACAAATCTACATATGTATAATGAGATCTTACATCTAGGTATGACAATGAAAACCGAATCTGCGGATACCCACCCGAATTTAACGGGGAAAACCCGATGTGATTGGGTTCGGATTCAGGTTTGGTATTGTTAATAGCCTACCCCGAACCCGCCCCGAACCCGATTAATATATATAAAATTATAAAATTACACATAAATACATATATAATATATATATATATTTTTCACACATATACATATATACATATAAATATATGTTTTGGTTCGAGTTTTTTCCGGGTTCGGGTTACCCGAAACCCGACGGGTTCGGGGATGATATTGTTATTTATAAGCCCGCTTAATTCGGGTTCGGAGTTGGGTAAACACAAACCCGATCCCACCCCTCCACACCCCGTTGCCATTCCTACTTACATCATTAGACGAACATAAGGTGATTTGGATTTGAAACAAAAAGAAGAATATTAAGAATTGGGCCCCAAGAGAGTAGAAAGCCCAATTAGAACAGAAAACCCTAGGCTATAGAATATAAATAAATTAGCGAAACCCTAGCATGAGTGGGAGAAAGAGGCGAAGATGAAGTTCAACCCACGTGTCTCAAGCAGCCGCCGGAAGAGCCGCAAGGCTCACTTCACCGCCCCATCCAGCGTGCGGCGCGTGTTGATGAGCGCTCCTCTCTCTCAGGATCTTCGCTCAAAGTACAACGTTCGTTCCTTACCGGTGAGAAAAGAAGATGAAGTTCAAGTCGTAAGAGGAACTTTCAAAGGACGCGAGGGCAAAGTTGTCCAAGTCTACCGTCGCAAATGGGTTATTCATATCGAACGCATTACTCGTGAGAAGGTTAATGGCACAACCGTAAATGTTGGTGTTCATCCTTCAAAAGTTGTCATTACAAAGATTCGTCTCGATAAGGATCGTAAATCGCTTCTTGATCGTAAAGCTAAGGGTCGTGCCACTTCTGATAAGGAGAAGGGTACTAAATTCGCTCCTGAGGATATTATGCAAAACATTGATTAGTTTTTATTTCATAATAAAGAAATTCAGACATGATTTTAAATTAAAGTATTGTAATTTTGGATCTTTAACTATTTTATTATGTCAATGATTGTTATTTAGTTATTTTGTGATGTTTTAAGTTCATTTTGTGATTTGATATATATGCATAGTTAAATAAGATCACATTATTTCAATTTATCTGATATGGTTAATAGGTTTGTTGTGTAGATTTGTTTGCGAAGTGTGTGGATGATGTGATAACCAATTTTACAGTTATCCCTGGCTGATGTTGCAGTGATGATAAATTGAAATCTGACACACACTGTTAGGTTCCTTACATGTTATATAGTGTAGTTTAAATTTGTGATATATCTTAAGTGATTATATTGTTTAGTTTCTGTCATAAGGGACTTTAGTTAAAATGTAATGTTGATTAGATTTGTGTGCAAAGTGATGTGGATGATGAGATTACAAATTTTACAGTTATCCCTGGCTGATATATCAGGTGATGAAATTTTGCAATCTGACACACACTGTGATGTTCCCTTAAAAGTTATGTCATATGTTTTTAGATTGGATTAGGTTCCTCTCAATGGGGATTATATTACAGTGATCCAGTGTTATTTTTAGTACCTTTTAAGTTTAATGTTTTTTTACATAAGATACAGTGCCGATGTATACTTTCTTAGTCACTGCTCATTTTGTATGAATTTTTTTAGATTAGATTATTTTCTGTCTAGTTATATCACTTTTTTCAGTTTGACCTCACTAGTTTGAGATGCTGAAGTTTATATCTGTGCACACATACATAGCTGTGGATGATGATATTGCCAATTTTACAGTTATCCCTGGCTGATATAGCAGATGCTGAAAATTTGTAATCTGACACCAATTGTTAGGTTCCATACAAGTTATAGCTTAGTTTAATCTGTGTGTTCAGTTTTTCTCACTAGATTTTTCAATTTAGAAGTTGAGTTGTTTAGATCTGCTTGTCCACTGTTTGGATGATGAGATTATCAATTTTACAGTCATCCCTGGCTGATATTGCAGGTGCTGAAAATATGTGATCTGACACACAGTTAGCTTTTATATAAGCTATAACATATAAATCTAATGGATTTCTTTACGTTCTTAATTTTATTCATCTTCTAATTTTAACTAAATCATAATTTGCATTGTTTTGAACATGATTTTGTGTAAACTACAGTTCTAGTGGAAGTGGAAAAAGTTGATTTCATTGTGTCAAACTGTGATTTGTAAAATACAATCGAAACATGGTTAGAGGTGGGGTGGGGTCTTTTTGGACAACGGTTGTGTCATTTTAACATGAGATTTTCACGTTTGAACATTGAAAAATGTTGACATATCAAATTGATTAGCAGTTTATTATTCTTACAAATATTAACTATGAAATTTTTATTTGAATTATAGGATACGTGCTAAGTGTTAACGACTTATCATTTTTGAACAATAATTCTTGTAAACATGCAGTGTCTATTAGGCAGAATCTAATGTAAATGTAGTTTTTACAAAAGTCAATGACGTCGTTGACAGTAACAAAGGTTCCTATTTTCTTGTGGGATAGGATTTTGCCGTTGTCGTTGATAGTAACAAAGGTAATTATTGTAACGAATTTGTTCGAATTACACGATGTTACTGAAGATTTATTCTTGAATTCCTTGACCCTCGTAATGGATATGGTCGCTTTCTCATAATGTTAACACCGACTCAATGATTTGATCTTTATTTGATTGTTTGCTTCATTGTCATAAATGATAAGCGCGAATAAGCAATTGAATGATATAAGCACGAAATAATGAATAGAAATGAAAAAAAAAATCTAATATCTGAATGAATATTTTGTTGTTATCTATCTCACCTACTACAATTTATCTTGCGGCAATTGATGTTCCAGCTTTAAACTTTATTCAGAAAATGAGATGGAACTTTCCTTTACATAAAATAAGTGTATTTTGAATATAAAAAAGGTACATTATTGTGTTAATCTTCTTTTCAAACCAAGAGAGAGAAATTAGAATTTAGAAAGCAGAACCAGAAATGAAAGCCATAGTGATAACCACACCAGGTGATCCTGAAGTGTTGCAGCTCCAAGAAGTAGAAGACCCTCAAATCAAAGACGATGAGGTTCTCATAAGAGTTGAAGCCACTGCTCTTAATCGAGCTGATACGGTTCAAAGGAAAGGCTCATACCCTACCCCAAAAGGTGCAAGCCCATACCCTGGACTTGAGTGTTCCGGAACTATTGAATCCGTTGGCAAAAACGTTTCTAGGTGGAAAGTTGGCGATCAGGTTATCCAAATTAACATTCTTTTTGGGTTTTGGGAGATGGGTTTTCAATTAAAGCTAGATTTCAATTCTGCGTGTCCTCTAAATTTCAAACTGAGTTGTGTAACTATAAGAAGCATGTTACATGCCTTATGAAAAAGTGGTTCTTCGAAAAACTATATTTGCAAAAACCTTATTTTGAGAAGCTTCTCATGTCAGCCTTTTCTTTTCAAGTAAACAAATATGTAGGATTATGCTCTGGCATTATTACATGAAAAGCTAGTTAAAAGTAAAAATACTAGGAGTTGGAAGCTTATAAACTTGGTTTATGTATAGTTAAATAAATAGACTAGCATATATTATCTAAAGGGTGTTACTAAAGACACGTAACTTTTTAGAAACGATTTTTTACATAGAAAATGGCCTAATGTGTATATATGCTCGTAGTTAGGTTAATTGTTGGATTTTATTCCTCATGGTTGGATTCTTAAATCCTGATTGTTGGAAGAAAAAAACTACCAAGTACACTCATTTTAACATCACTCATATTTGGCTTTTTGACGGCTATGTTTTGTGGATACCCTATTGTTCTTTTTACTATGGCTTTTTTAACCTGATATTGTTATATAAAAATGAATATTATATGGTAAAATCTCAATTAGAGAATAAACCCATATTGGATAAGTAGTTACAGTGACAATATAGGATTAGAAATGCACATGAAAAAGATTTAAAGGTTCGTGCTTTATCATTGGACATGGTTTATCGTAGTTGTGTTTTTTTAACCTGTCATTTTTGTTGTCTTATGAATAAAAGTTACTTCAATATATGTCATGTGGTTTACAGGTGTGTGCTCTTCTATCTGGAGGAGGATATGCTGAGAAAGTTGCTGTTCCTGCTGGACAAGTTCTTTCAGTTCCTCCTGGGATTTCTTTGAAGGATGCTGCTAGTTTTCCTGAGGTGGCATGCACCGTCTGGTCTACTATTTTTATGACCAGCCGGCTATCTGCGGGAGAAACTTTGTTGGTAAGTGATTAACTGATAAATAATTTTTGAGTAAATAATATAACTTAATAATTAATATGGTAACTTTAATTCTCAGATTCATGGAGGTTCAAGTGGCATTGGTACATTTGCAATTCAGATAGCTAAGTACCGAGGATCAAGAGTATTTGTTACTGCAGGTTTGTTTGTACTTTTCATGTTATTCAATAACAGTCACTTTTCACTTAGTTAGAAGTGGAAATTATCTCTTTGCCATATTTGATCATCTAGTTATTACTCCATCTCATCAATTAAAATTCTAAACAATGTTCACCAAAGTTTTATTCTTTGTATTGCATGCCAGGTAATGAAGTGAAACTTGCTTTTTGCAAGGGTATTGGTGCTGATGTGGGCATCAATTACAAAACAGAGGACTTTGTTGCAAGGGTGAAGGAAGAAACGGGTGGTCAAGGTATTATAATCTCGGTCGGAAGCATGATATAGTTTGTAATCATTAATCAATTGATGTTTTTGTTTTCACTGATTATATAGAGAAGTATGATGTAATTGATGATTGGTGGCAGGTGTTGATGTTATTCTTGATTGTATGGGAGCATCCTACTATCAAAAAAATCTCGAGAGCTTAAATTTTGATGGAAGACTTTTTATTATCGGCTTTCAAGGCGGGGTTTCCACAGAATTTGACCTCCGACCTTTAGTTGGTAAACGTCTTACAGTACAAGGTATTGCAGAATTTTTATTATACCCTTTCCTAATAGTCAGTCCACTTCAAGTTTAGTTTTCTTCAGTAAATGTGTCTGTGCAAGTAAATACTTAATGTTATCTCTACCTCTAAATTCATTTTAAGCTTTTTTGTTCATTCTTGATAATATCTTCATTTCTGCATGAGTAGTATCTTCTAGTTTTGCATTTTTGAGTTGTATGACCATGCTTCCTTTGTCCTCAAATTGTGCATTCTTCTGGACAATAATATTCTACCACATCCCTTCTGAGTGTCTACTTTTTTTGATTTTCTTATTGAACATGATGAACCACCTTTGCCGCCAACAGTGAGGTTGTTGCTTAGTGATTGTGATGTCACAGGTTCAAATCCTAGAAACAGCTTCTTTGCCTGTGAGAGTAACGTCACGTACATTTACTTTCCCCGTACCTCACTAAGTAAGAGCCTGTTGCACTAGGCTGCCTTTTTACAGTTTATGGTGGATCATACTGTTATTGAACATAAAAATTATGAATATCATTCATATGGTGGACTGTGTGCAGGGGCTGGCCTGCGTAATAGAAGTCCTGAAAATAAAGCTTTTATCATCAATGAAGTGGAGAAGAATGTTTGGCCTGCAATTGCAGAAGGTAAGGTTAAGCCTGTGGTCTACAAAACTTTCCCTCTGTCTCAAGCCGCGGAGGGTCACCGCCTTATGGAAAGCAATCAGCATATTGGGAAGATACTGCTTTTCCCATGAACACCATCTTACAATGATATTATGGATCCTTTGAGTTTGGACATCTTTTTATGATATGATCTCTGTATCCTATAATAAAGCTGTAACTTACAATTGCAGATCAATATATTATGTTATCTTATGGAAAAAAATCTGAGAGTAAAGACTATGTACATTTATCTTTTCTAAGATCCTATTAGATGGGAGACTCTGCCTTTTATCTAGTGTACATGGTGTCCTAGCTAGGAGGGTATGCTTAAGCTTCTTTTTATTGTAATTTGGTTTGACATTGTTTCTCTATCTTTCACTACTTACTTGAACCTTAAAGTGGCTTTATTTGGGAGCAAAATTAGGGAATGGAATTGTAGCTTTGAAAGAATGAAGTTTGTAAGATAGGATGTAATTTTTCACATATCATAAGATATATGATTGGTTAGAGAAAAAGAAAATGGGGAAAATTGTCATTTTATTAATGTTAGGGTTGGAAAATATATATTTTTTGGGGTAAGGAAATTATACCATGACTTAGAATAGATTCAGACTTATTAGCATTAATTGCTGCCATATATATCAAACATCACTTTGTCCATTAAAAAAAACAAAAAAAAACTTCACCATGTCAATTGATTCCAGGACTTGTTCCTTGATTATATTAGTAGTTGCTGTTGGAATATTAGTGAGAGAAAAATCCATTTATAATCGCATTTAGATAATTTAACATGATATAGTTATACAAAGATGTTGGAATATTTTCACATTTTATTTCAAACCATGATATTTTATACCACTCATCTATACTACTTCTTTTGCAACCAATGAATAGTGCTTTGTCTTTTAATTTTATGGAGTTTAGTAACTTCGAAAATATTAGTTGTGGTTAATGAAATTTTTCCAAAAATCTATCTATATGTAAAATTTAGTGTAAATAATGAAATGTAATCAATTAGCAACATTATTTCCATTTCCTTCCCTTTTTATTTCATTATTCTTCAAACTCTGAAACAAGACATCTTCTAACTTAAAAAATATATTTTCTACCAATATGTTGACCCAAATAAGGAAAGTTTTATCCTTGAAATTAATATTTTTGAAGTTAGATTTAGAATTAATGAGGGTTTAAATATGATGTCATATATATAAAATGGGAAGAGATGCACTTACTCTTGGGACTAAGTGGAAAAAAACATATCCTAATGATTTAAACTCTTAATCATTTTATCTTTTAAGAATGAATGACTATGATGTGAAGTATGTTAATAAAAACAATGAAACGAAAATGAAGGGGTAGGATCTGATGGATGACACATGGAAATTAATTATTAAGATTGAAGCTGTCATAAGTACACCAT